TGTATTCTAGATGATGTGGATGCCATACACTCATGAGATTCTTGGACAGTTGCAACCTGTTGGTCGAGAGGGCACACTGACACATGGCGAGCACATGTGCCCTTGCTTTGTTTTGATGTAGGGGATCATCATTTTCCCGATCGTGTACTACGACAGTTCGAGTTGCACCAAGTTATTCCCGCACCTTGTGATACTTCTGTGGACTAACACAAGATCGACAGACGAGGGAAGCACACAAAAGATTGGAGGATGCACCATACACAGAAGATGAGAGAGCGACATATATAGTGGACGGGACCCCAACAGTAGTCCCCAGTCTCTGCAGATTACATGAAATGGTATCACACCATCACACGGGTGTTCATCTCTCCCAGTTTTTGTCTACCCACCGATCATTACCAGCCTAGCTCAGCCGCTCTTCATATAACGGCACAAAATATATTCACATAAATCACTTTATTCATTCATTCATTCATTCATTCATTCATTCATTCATTCATTCATTCATTCATTCATTCATTCATTCATTCATTCATTCATTCATTCATTCATTCATTCATTCATTCATTCATTCATTCATTCATTCATTCATTCATTCATTCATTCATTCATTCATTCATTCATTCATTCATTCATTCATTCATTCATTCATTCATTCATTCATTCATTCATTCATTCATCCATCCATCCATCCATCCATCCATCCATCCATCCATCCATCCATCCATCCATCCATCCATCCATCCATCCATCCATCCATCCATCCATCCATCCATCCATCCATCCATCCATCCATCCATCCATCCATCCATCCATCCATCCATCCATCCATCCATCCATCCATCCATCCATCCATCCATCCATCCATCCATCCATCCACCCACCCACCCATCCATCCATCCATCCATCCATCCATCCATCCATCCATCCTCGTTCGTTCGTTCGTTCGTTCGTTCGTTCGTTCGTTCGTTCGTTCGTTCGTTCGTTCGTTCGTTCGTTCGTTCGTTCGTTCGTTTCGTTCGTTCGTTCGTTCGTTCGTTCGTTCGTTCGTTCGTTCGTTCGTTCGTTCGTTCGTTCGTTCGTTCGTTCGTTCGTTCGTTCGTTCGTTCGTTCGTTCGTTCGTTCGTTCGTTCGTTCGTTCGTTCGTTCGTTCGTTCGTTCGTTCGTTCGTTCGTTCGTTCGTTCGTTCGTTCGTTCGTTCGTTCGTTCGCTTCGCTCGTTCGTTCGTTCGTTCGTTCGTTCGTTCGTTCGTTCGTTCGTTCGTTCGTTCGTTCGTTCGTTCGTTCGTTCGTTCGTTCGTTCGTTCGTTCGTTCGTTCGTTCACGTGTTTATCAATAATAATCATGCTTTCATTACAGACACGGGCTTTGCATATTATCCATGACAGAGCTACTCCTGTACTTGATGGGGGGTAGATGTACATGGATACCATGAGATATGCCCGGGCATTGCCGCATTGTGTGCTGATGTATTGGGCTGAGTAAACCATGGATATGTGGTTGCCTCTCAGTATTCGACGACATCTACATCTACAACAGGGTCTTCCCAGGCACTACGACGTGATAGAGTGGTTTTTCAGCCTCGTAACCAGCGTAGATTCCCCCGACCTCAGGCACAAGCACAACCATGTGAGCTTTATGATGATGATCACATTGACTTGTGATATTTGTACTTTACATTATTGTGTCAAACATGAACCATCATATCGATTTTTTTTGAAACATTTGATTTATTATCAACTTTGTGTTATATTTTTAGTATTGTGATTCAATGTAGTTCATTGATTCGTTTCATGTCTCAGATATGTTCTGTTTTTTAGTAACCTATATTGGCTATAAAGAGCCGATGTTTGCTGTTTCTAAGTTGATTGTACTGTACTGAGCATTTTTTTGTGTTTTTGCGATTGAATAAGCTGGTGTGCTAATTACTAGGCAGAAGAGCCGCCACTTCGAGTGATGATAAGTCCATTTTTGTACTTATTTTTCTTATCAAATTTAAGCGATTTTTGAATGAAAATAGAAAGAAAAGACACATTTTATATATTTTGGTTCAAGTTTCATGAAATCAGGTAAAAATCACATCCATAATATGTTTAGCGGGATTTCGGGTCAATTGAGCACAAAATGAGTCAATTTGAGTGACAAATGCATTTATACCGGAAGAAGCAAGCATTTTATCAAGGTGATTCAGAAGACAAAGTTGAAGAGCAAGAAAAGCCGCATCTGCCAGACAAAAGTGGCCGAAGGCGCCCAAATAGGCGCCCAAAATGGAGGCCTTCGCGGCCGCCTACGGGAAAATTCAGAAGTCAACCTCGCTTTGACTCGGGACCAGGAAAAGACCGAAGGCTGCCGACACTGGACAGAAGGCGGCCGCCTACGGTGGCCGCCTGCGGCACAAGGGGACGAAACCAACCACCGATCGGCCAGACAAGACGGCAGGCGGCCAGACAGGACGGCAGGCGGCCGCCTGCTGGACCGCCTGCGGCGGCCGGGGTCCGCCGGGATCCGTCGGGATCCGATCTGCCAACGAAAAGATGGCAGGCGGCCATTTTTGACAGAAGGCGGCCGCCCTCTGTGGCCGCCTACGGCTGACGGGACCGCCACCGACGGTCTGCCGGCGACAGGACGGCAGGCGGCCAGAGGCTGCCGAAAGGCGGCCGCCTGCCCGGGCGCCTACGGGAATTTTTCGGCTATAAAATCCAGGCTTTTTCCTCAACTCAAATACACCAATTTCAAGCCCAAATCAGATCAAAAAGGGCGTCTTCTTCCTCCTCAAAGCTCGGATTTCCACCATTGTTGCACCTTCAACTTCAATCTTTCATATCTTTCTCATTTTAGCTCCAAATTGTGAGTTCTTTATATGTATTTTCATCCTTTCAATGAGTAGAATCTGAATCTGTACTTAGTTTTTTCTATCTGTGCTTCTAAAATTTCCAGAAAATTATTCAACTATTTCGCATTTTCGTCTTAAATTTGAATAAAATAGTTGTTGACATTAAATCCATTCCAATTAATTATATAGTTGTTTACTAGCCTCAAGGTAGTTATTTATCAAAACAAAGTTAATTTTTACGAAGTAGAAGTAAATTTTAATTAATTCCGGCATTTAGTTGTTATTATTGCATAAATTAAATTAAATACTCAAAAAAGGAAAAAAATTAGTTTCTGTCCTAATTCCAGTTAAATTAACAGTAATATCACTCCTAGTATTCAATATAAAATTTAGAACGAATTTAAAATAATTTTAGTTGCTTTTTGTATTTTCTAGTTAATATTGGGAAAATTATCAATTAGTTGTTAAAATTGGATTTTAGGTTATAAAATTCGGGAAAAATTCCAGAAGGTGATATTTTAGTTCTACAAGTTTATTTTGGAAGAATATTATTTTTGTTTAATTTTTGCTATTATACATGCTTAATTCCTTGTTAATGTTGAATTTATTCATTGTATTGTTAAATGAAAAAATGATGTTTATTAGCTAAATTTGTTTTGGGCATGAATTGACTAAAGGAATATGGATTGACTTGTTGACCGAAAATTAGGGATTAAAATTAATAATTTGGACTAGTTGTTTGAAATGATGAAATAGTAATTAATAATTGTTAGCCATATTCATTAATTAAATTCTTGGAAAATTATTTCTAACTTGTCTATGAGATTAGAAAATAATTTAAGCCAACCATATTCAAGCACATTAATAAGGCCTAGAAATAGGATAATTTAATGAAAGGGATTTACATCTTGTCTATGAGAGATAAATTCAATTGCTTAAATAATGAGTTTAACTAGTTAATGAATTCGGCTATTTTTATTAATTAAAATATTGGAGAATTATTTCTACCTTGTCTATGAGGTTAGAATTTAATTCAAGCCAACCATTTTTGAACACATTAATGACACCTAGAAATAGGATAAATTAATGAAAATAGTTTCTATTCTTGTCTATGAGGAAAGAAATTATTAGTCCAATTTTAGTTTTAATTTCCCTAATTACTAGGTCCAAGAATATATCCATTTCTAATTACTCAATTCATTGCCCTTATTTGCAACAATCCATTTAAGTTTAATATTATATTTTTTCCTTTAGTCTATTTTTGAGCCATCATTAGTATTTGCACAATTAAATTTACTTTCTTTTCCAAAAAGTAGTTTAGAAAATCAATCAAAAGTTTTAATTTGGAAAGCTTCCAATAATTGCGATAACTTGTGACTGGACTTAAAATCAAGAAGCTCCTCCGCCATTCCTCGAGAGACACGATACTCGGGGAAAAACCGAAAGGTTAGACTCCGTTTTACTACAACGCCGCGAAAGCGGTTATCAAGTGACGTCATAACCACATTTAACTGCAACATTTTTTTGAGAATTATTTTTAACTCAACATTATTTTGGGAATTATTTATTTAAGGAAAAATGGAAACTAATAATTCAACCTTTTAGCGGTCTTCTTACAATAGTCTCACATTTTCGTTATTCATGAATAATCCAACATTTGCACCTCATCTTCATTCACTGGTCCCTGACTGTTTGATGACCTGCTATTCCGGGTTATTTTTTTATCTTTGCAAACCATTATACCATAAATCTCACCTTTCACAAAGATAATATTTTATAAAGATAAAAAAATAACTTGGAATAGCAGGTCATTAACCGGTCAGGGACCGACGAATGAAGATAGGGTGCAAAGGTGGGATTATTCATGAATAACGAAAAGGTGGGACTATTAGTTTCCATTTTCCCTTTATTTAATTAGTATTATTCCAGGAAAAAACTTTCATTTAAGAATATTTTTTAAAGAAAACTCACAATACCACTAAGGATGTTTGTACTTGGTCCGTAATTTGTTGGTGTGGTCTGGTAATGTCTTGTCTTTGTATTTTTATAACTATCTAAGTCTGATCTGATCTGATCTGATCTGGGATTACCGTCGAAGTAAAAAAATCCTAAACAGTTTCAGATTCAATAAATATTGGGCCGGTAACATGTGGCCTACTTGGACTATAGCCCAACTCTAATTCTTTCCACCATTACCAATTTACCACACCTACATACATCCCTATCATTTCCAGCAAGCTTCTCTTCGGGCTCTGCAGCTTTGGCCTACGTTCGAGAATTCACCACCGTTCCTTGATATCCAGGTAGGTATTGCATTTTCTACGGCCATGTTCAATATTTCAAATACGCTACTCTACAGATCTTTTATTAGTCCTATATTTCCGAGGATGGGTATGAAACAGCACTACTGATTTTATTCTGACGTTTCAGATAAGTATTTGCTATGTTAGTTATTTCCTTTTTAATTTGACTTATATATATGTTGTTTAAAACAGAGTAATTCGTCTCCATTTTTATTTACGTATGTTTTTTTTGTCTTTTTATTTTAGGAGTCTATTACATTTTAATGGCTCAATTGTTGCTTTAATTTTTAGTATTATCAATTTCCTTAACCAATCCGAGATTTTATCACTATAACAATTTTATTATTGATTATCTAAGAAGTTTTATTGCAGAGGTGCTGGATTGTTGGTGTAAAAATAGTGAACTTTTTTAGATAAAAAAGTTTGAACTTTGCTTCGGGGAACCTCAAAATAGCTATTATTATAGGTTTATTTAAGTTTTGCATTAAACAATCATCCGCAATACTTCCACTTCACACTGAATGTTTAATGGTAGTTTGGTAGCCTTATTTATTGACAATCAGTTGTAAAAACCATTTTTAGTAAGCATCTAAGTTTCGTTAACTGAAGTGGTTAATAATGTTAAGAAGTAGGGCTAAAGACCCTTTTTGGCTGAAATGGGTGAAGTTGATGAGGTGGCTATTTTAGTTTTTATTTTCTTTCACTGTTAACTTTTTTCATAATAACTCTGCCGATTCAGCCAAAATTTCAGTAATTTCAGATTTCTGCAGATTCAACCACGTTGGTCATTTCAGCATTCTTTTACAAACAGGCTCTTAATTTGAAACAGCACAAGACCATTTCAGCAGTCTTTGACAAACAGGCTCTTAATTTGAAACAACACAAGACTGAACTTAAAGCAATTAATAGAATTTGTCGTATACTTTAGTAATCAGTATGGTTGCTTTTTAATTGGATAGTGCTTTATCTTTTGTACTTTATCTTCAGCCAGTTTTGACAGGATAATGGCCAAAGGAAACTTCATTATATATAAACACACACACACATAGATTGTATTGATCCTCATAATTATGAAAATGTTTTTCTAGATGCATTCTTATGCAATTAAAATTAACCATAAAATTAAAATGCGTAAGCAAAAATGTAGGGAAGCTTATGACCACTGCTGTGAAACCTGAATTAGAAGATATGGAAGATGATGAAGAGCCACTACGCTTCAAACGTCATAATAATAACTTAACATCAAAGTTGCGCACATTGAACTCTGAGCCAAACTCTTCACTGTCTCAAAAGCTTGATGAGAGACAGGTAGGGAGACAGACATCCAATGCCAATTCTCCTAATGGTCAAAACTGTAATCTTCAAAAAGACAAGAGAGTCCCTTCCGCCTCCAAGGCATCACCATTGAAATCACCCTTGGTCAGTCCCAGATCATCACCACTCAAATCACCATTGGTCAGCCCACGAGCATCTCCTCCACAAAAAAAGAGCTTACCAGCAACCACTGCAGTTAAAAAGGCACAACCATCTGTTTCTGCAGCTAACCAGCCAACCAATATAAACCAATGCAGAACAAACAAAGGTCACGAGGAAAAGCCATCTGTTGCTCACCAAAAGGATGATTTGGACTCCGAAGATGATAAACCATTGAGTAATAGTCTACCTGGATGGTCAAATAACAATTCCAACCACTGTAACAATTTGTCTTCAGCCTCACCTTCAAACATTGTCCCCCCGAAGGATGAGGATTCAGATGATGATATCCCCTTGTCAACAAGAATGAAACGTAAACCTGATATGGGGACTTCTAATACAATATCGTCTGAACCTAGTAAGGATAAACTTGTACTTCCTATCCAGAAGCCCAATGGTTCTGTATCCTCTACAGTCCCGAGTAAGAGATCTCCAGCCGAGGGCAAATCTACTGGTCAGAGTTTGGTTAAAAAGCCGAGGCTTTCTGAATCACCTGCTTCTATTAAGTCTACCAAGCCTTCAGTAAAAGCAGAAAAAAAGGAATATGATGACGAAGATAACATTCCCATATCACAAAGAATGAAGAAGTCACCTGGTCTTGTTAATAATAAGTCATCATCTACAAAGAGAATCGGTGCAGTTTCTTCTTCCTCACATAAAATAACAAAGAGTAAATTTAATAAGGTAAAGAAGAACTCCAAATACTCTCAATCGTCAATGGTACCCCCTAGCTCTGGTGAAGCACAAAAATGGAGTACTTTGGTTCACAATGGTGTAATTTTCCCACCACCATACAAGCCGCACGGGGTTAAGATGCTCTATAAGGGAAAGCCTGTAGACCTGACAGCAGAGCAAGAGGAGGTTTCCCCTCTTTCTCGATGTGATGTGTAAGAATATATTTGTTCCACACAAAAAAACCAATTTTAATCTTTCTTGCAGGTTGCGACAATGTATGCAGTCATGTTAGATACAGAATACATGAACAAACCTAAATTCAAGGAGAACTTTATGAATGACTGGAAGAAAATACTTGGAACAAATCATATAATTCAGAGTTTGGAGCACTGTGATTTCAGACCTATATATGAGTGGTATCAGAAAGAGAAGGAAAAGAGGAAGCAGATGAGTCCAGAAGTAAGTTAGTTGTTGAATAATGGAGTAACTTGATTATATGCTGAATGTGAGGTTAGTTAAAAATAAGTGAGTAACTGATTGGTATACTATGTGCTCTGCATGATAAATTTCTTAATAATAGACTAATAGTAATATGCGATTCACGTGTTGACATGCCATTCATCAGTTAATCACTTGTTTTAGGCAACACATGTTATTGTCTGTGTGTGTTATTGGTGGAAAAAGTATCCTGCAAAATCATTTTTGTGAAATAGACTTATGGAGTTGTTAGGGATTCAAATATGCATAAAGCATGATAATTTGAGAATGATTGAAGCTATGCTTTTTTGTAGATAATTTGAATACTTATTGGTTTCTAAGTACGCTGCTGAGTTATCGGACCAACACTTTTTCATGAAGCAGGGTGTAAAGTTGTTGAATTTTTGACTGATTTCCATTCCTATATGTTTGATATTGCTGGTTAATTATTCTTTTGACCCAGAAGTTGCTTAAAATAAATTTGGTCTAATGGTCCAAGTGTGTCCCACTGTCCTGTTATGTTCAGGAGAAAAAGGCGTTAAAAGAAGAGAAAATGAAGCAAGAAGAGAAGTATACATGGGCTATTCTTGACGGTAAAAAAGAAAAGGTTCATGTCTATCTTTTCTGGTTTGCTTTTGAGTTTCTTTTTCCTGCTTTCTTGTTGCTTGTGGTGTTGTGTTAAATGCTAGATTTTGGTTTTAAAAATATTATTCATATACACTCCTTGGATGAAAAAAAATCAGCAACTAACTTATTTGCCACCAGATTATAGTGATACATTTTCATTATATTCATTATGTTTGTTGGTGGGATTTGTACTTTTGTAGGTAGGAAACTTCAGGGTCGAACCTCCTGGATTGTTCCGAGGTCGCGGAGAACATCCAAAGGTTTGTTTATATGGAACAGAAGAGTACTTTCATATCTTTTGGTTGTTTCTAGACATTTCTCTATGACATGTCCTTATAGGTTGCACTGAATATTCCTTGTTTTTTGAACAGATGGGGAAGTTGAAAAGGCGCATCTACCCAAGTGATATTACGATAAATATAGGAAAAGATGCCCCAATACCAGAAAGCCCCATCCCTGGTGAAAGGTTCTTTTCGTAGTCTTTCCCAGGAAATGTGAATCTCTTGAGCACGGAAGTAATTTTGAAAAATGAGGGGTAAATATATTCGTGCAATAATTTACATCTAAACTGGGAAAAAATCTATTGCAGTTGGAAGGAGGTGAAGCATGACAACACTGTAACATGGTTAGCATTCTGGAATGACCCTATAAACCAAAAAGAATTCAAATATGTTTTCCTTGCTGCTAGCAGTACCTTGAAAGGGCAAAGCGATAAAGAGAAGTATGAGAAAGCAAGACTGATTAAGGTAATTGATTAAAAACTCATAATGAACTTTCTGTCTATAGTGATATACTATTTTATTGATATTATACTCTCTGGATACCTGCGTGTATGCTGCTTCTGCTGTTGATCGAAGCACTGTGGTTGTGGTTGATGATGTATCTGCCTCTTGGTTATCTTCGATGCAGGATCACATAGATCGAATCAGAGCTGCATATACTAAAGATTTTAATAGTAAAGATCCTGTTAAGCGGCAAATAGCTGTTGCTACCTATCTTATTGATAAACTCGCTCTCAGGGCTGGCAATGACAAGGTACTGAGAATTTACTTCTTTTTCCTGCCACTGCTCTCGATCAAGGATTTTAGAGCAAGATTCAAGTCATGCATCATAAGACTAGTTTTAGAATCGTGAATCGTATTGTGGCAATGTGAGATGCCTTTCTAGAAAAAAATAGAACGTAGTATGTTAGTAAAAATCGGCAGCATAAGTGAAAAGGCTTAAGTTCGTTTTGCATAAATAGTAATATAACCTTTAAAAGAACAGTGTTACAGGCTTGGGAGATGAAAAGAGGATTGGAATCAATATAGATGAAACACTTCTCCACCCTAGGCAAGAGAAGGTGGCATCTGACAATGTCAAGACTCCAAAGAATAACTCCAAAATTACTGATCATGTTATCAATGAATGGAGCATCTCTATTTATACTATTTCCGGTGGTGTCAGTGGACTAGTATTACAAAATAGAATACCTATACTAATAGGAAACTAGTACTACTAATGAAGGAAACTAATGAAAGCAATGATAATAGTAATTATGCTACTACAGTACTACTACATACACCCACATCATTACTCCTCCCTCATGGATATCAAGTTTGACATCGAGCTTCTCCCCAATCTTGAAGGAGAGTACTATGGAATGCTAAAATTTTCCACAATCACAGTGCTTGAAAACCCAACAAGCCAAAAGTTGTGCCTCACAAAATGTGTTTGAAGCACCTTGATAGTTAGACAGAGGAACAACCAAACATAACCATTATGACATTTTCCGAATCAGCTTCACAAAATGAAACCTCCTATGGAAAATTTGATGTGTAGTTCATCCTTTATAAGGAAGCAATTGAAAGCTCTCAGATTTATTTTTTAGTGCTTATTATGAAAAAACTGACTGGGTTACCACACACACACAAAGGAAGCAATTGAGGCAATAAAATAAAGCACAAACATCCAATTTAAATCCTCACAATCATGATGTGCCACATACGTTGACAAGAAAATTTGATTAATGAATTATTCAACTGAAAGATAAGTATAGCATAGAAAATATGAGAACATAATACATATTTAATAATGGATGTGGGTCATAGAAGTCTGATGGTAGGAGTCTGGATACACTGTAACACTTATTTTTCTCTCTGACTTTCTGGATGGAAAAGAAGGGAAAAAAGCCCAAAAGGTAGAGAAGAAGATGTGAAGGGGAGGAACATGATGACTGTGAGCGTGGCTTTGAGATGAAAAGAAGATTGAAATCATAAAGATGAAGAACTTCTCCGTCCTATGCAAGAGAAGGTGGTGTCTGACTTGCTAAGACTCCAATGAAGGACTCCAAAATTATTATTCTTATTATTAATTAACGGACACCTCTATTTATACTAGTTCCAAGAGTCTTGGTAGACTAATACTACTTCCGTCCCATAGTGTAAGACACATTTGGGTTTGGTGCGGGTTTTAAGAAAATAAAGGATAAAATGGTTGTTTTACAATTATAAGTTATAACCTTCAAAAGTAAGAAGAATAAGATTGGTTCACAAAAAGTAAAAGGTGAAATGATAGATAAAGGGATAAAGTGGGAAAGTAAACAGCTAGTGGCGTCAAATTTAGGAAAGTGATCATATTTTTGGGACAACCCTAAAAGGAAAGTGTATCTTATAAAATGGGACAAGGGAATATATAAGTAAATCTAGACCTATTACAACAATATTGTATAAAATAGAATTAGTTTACTTCATATTTCCATGTTTCCTCTTCCCAGCTTTTGCAAAGCAGTCCTCCAACCTTCCTCTTTGGTTTTTTCTTTATCTTCTTGCAGCTTTAAAAACTTTCAGTTCACTTCTTCAGTGACAGAAAAACAAGCATCAAAATTTACTATTGATACAGCGAGTTGATGCTTCATTCTTGCAACACCACCCCAACAAGTAGGAGAACGGTAGTTTCACTTCACTAGTAGCCTGTAGTGTTTAACAATTCCATAATGTTGCCTTGCCATGTCACTTATACTTCTTTTCTCTTTTAGTTTAACCATTACGATGCTAGAGGAGGAGAAGAACAAAGGTAAATCACAGAGGCAGAGCGAGGCTTAGGGTCATGAAGGGTTTTAGTTTAGGAGTTTTATACTGGATATGTTGGACGGTATAATCTGTCCATTTAGACAACCAGAAGTTTCTCTCCCGTTTAGGAGTTCTATACTGGGTGTTTTAGACGTTATAATCTGTCAATTTAGACAGTCAGAAGTTTCCCTCCTGTTTTATAAAAGAAAAGCTACGCAAAACAACCTTAGAAAGGCTTTTTAAGAAATGGTTGCATGGCTGACTTGAATTCAGTCTTATCTAGGACCAAAGTGAATTATGTGGTTCAATCATTGGTTCATTGCATAGCGATTCGTGCAATTATTTGCAATATGACTTCAATTCTGACCTATTATCTATTCATTAAACGATTTGCATCGTCAGGGTTGATTTTTGTTTCATCCATCCGTATCGTAGTCCTACTACCATGCTTTTTCTTTTTTGTCAACCACATCCATCAAATTGTAAGACTAATTATTATTGTGCTATGGATTTGATTCATTGGATCACATAGAATGCCAAAAAGGACTAAACTATTGATGTATAAGTTTTCCCTTCTTTTATTTCATGTGTCTGTTTTAGTAATCATGTTTCTGCCTACTTTGTGTTTCAGGATGATGCTGAAGAAGCTGACACAGTTGGTTGCTGCACATTGAAAGTAGAGAATGTTGAGCCAGAGCATCCAGATATTTTGAAGGTGTGATACTTCTGGTGTCTTTACTCATTATGGCATGCTTGGTTGGTGGAATGTAATAAAGGAAGAAATAAGAGGAATAGTGAGAAAAATTTGTGGGGAACAATGAAAGTTTTGAAAATGACAGTTAGTTTGCTATGAATGTGAAAATAATGTTTGTGAGATGAATTCTTGTCATGTACTGAATTGCAGAATTAAAACAAAAACATACTCCCTTCATTCCACATAAAGTTTCTCACTTGCCTCTCTTGGATGTCCCATTTAATCCCATTTCCATTTTAGGAAATATTTAACTCTCTTAAATGACAACACAATCATCACATACTAAATGTAATGCACCCATAACATCACAATTATCATCAATTACCCCATTATATTATATACCACCCAAACTACTTCTTAAACTATACTCAAATTACCACATTTCATTGTCTGTAATCGTGCAATGCAATTGTGCCTCATGGCAGTACCATTGCTTACCGTTGGCTTCTCGTTCGTGATTGCGGAACGATGCTTTGAACTTGCAGATTGCGCTTTGCACGATGTTGGTTTGCCGAATCCATCTTGCAATACGTGATCCGGCATGCCGAACGACACAAGAGGCTTGAAGTTCCAAACGACGTAGGAGATTTGAAGTTCCAAACGACGGTTGGTGAGTTGGAGTGTGAAACAACGCACTGGTTCGGTTGTTTTTCCAAAGTCGTACGCTCCAAACGACTTTCACACTCCAGTTTTTCTCTATTTAATTGGCCAGCACCTACACTTCTTTCTATCATCCCATTTTCCTCACTTAAGAGTTCAGACTTGTACTTACTCTTTCCTCCCAGTCTTTGTCTAATACTCCATTCAGCTATTCAAAAATGGCTTTTGGCAAAAACAAACAGCTTCAGAGTTAATCAAGCCAGTCCACTTAGTCAGGTGATAATACCATGGACATGACTTTAAGTGATGATAGCCTTGATAGGGGCTAATCCTGTTGCTATTGGCGTAGAAGAAGAGGCTTGCAGGGAAATTCCAACTACCCAAAATAAAGAGAAAGATGACAAACCATTGTAAGAAGAAGTCAAATTTATCAGTGCTCCTACTTTGGGGGTGCCAAAGTTTGGATATGCAAGTATTGTAATAAAAAATTACAACCTCATACACTCGAATACATATTTTTTTGGTTCACTAATTGGCAAGAATACTGAAATTAAACGGTGCGCTGCTTTGCTCAAAGATCGGGAGAAGTATGAACAATTGTCGACTAAAGTCAAGGCGGCTGAAAAGGCGGAGTCTCTAGATCCTTGAAAAACTCCGTGCTGAATAAACCACAAAGTATCTCTTAAAAAAAGCTAATTCAAGACTCCTTTGGAATAATGGAGAGAAGTATGGTGGATTTGAAAGTCATGTAAGGATTGTGTGCGAACGGTAAATCCCTTTAAGTGCAATCAACAAAGCACCCGCAGGTTACACACCTCCATCAAGTGAGAAAGCAAGGAATGTTTTGCTTGATGAATGTGTTAAAAATGTGGAAAAAGATCTAACACCGGTTAAAGATACTTGATATTCACAAGTGTTTCTATCGTATCTGATAGGTGGTCTAATATCAAGCATAAACCCTTGATCATTGTCATTGCAGTCGCGGTGCAATGTTCTTGTATGTTGAGGACTTCTTTGGATTGGAAAAAATAGGTATGGCAATTGTATTTTTCTTATTTGGAACAATTGAAACCATATGACCAAGCAATGTCTTTCAAGTTGTGACCAATAACGTAGTGAATTGCAAAGCTGTGGGTAGGGAAATTGAAAAGATACACAAACACATATTTTGGTCTCCTCTTTGTGTTCATACCTTAAATTTGATTTTCAAAGATCTCGCAAAGGAACTGAATTAGTTGATGAATACGTAAAGGAGAGGGAGAGTTATTGTGAAGTCTTTTCTTAATCACATCCAAGCCTTGACAATTTTTAGAGATAATTCAAAGTTGGAGTTGTTGAAAGTTGTTAAGACTGGGTATGCATCCCATTATATTTTGTTGAAAAGATTAAGGGATTCTAGAGAGGCTCTTGCTACAACTATCCCTCTTAATTCTTGGAGGGATTAGGTAAAAACAAGGGGAGGAAAACACAAGAGCAATTGGACTGTTAGTTGCTCATACTATTAGGAGCGAAGAATTTGGGATGATGTTGATAGCATTCTTACAATAACAAAGCCAATTTTTTTGCTAATCAACTTTTGCGATGGTGAAGGACCGAAAATGGGAGGAATCTATGAAAATGGATAACATGTTGGGAGAAATAAAAGATATCATGACTACTAATCAATACGCTTTGTACTTCCCAAAAGTGGAGGCTATTGTGTTAGCTAGGTGGGAGAAAATGGCTATTCCTTTGCATTGTTTGAGTTTTGCTTTATCACCGCGGTTTTATGATGTTCGTGACCCTCAAGAAATTAGCACTCGGTGGAGTTGCTAAAAAAGCTCCGAATTTGTATAAAGAAGTTGTGCTAGGTGTAATGGAGTCTTTTTAAAAAATTGGTGAAACCCCAGAAGAACAAATGCTCTATAGAGAACAATTTGCAAGGTTTCACATGAAGAGATTGTTTGCTATGGCGGCAACTCAGATAGATGCAATGAGTATGGAGGCCATTAATTGGTGGTCAACATATGGTTCAGTCTCTGAACATTCATCTTCAATCACGATTTTCTGAAAGTTACAAAACTGGTCCGAACAAGAGGTGACATATTAATCATGAAAGTGCATAATGCGGAAGGGTCAAGTGCAAGCCTAGATGAGTTGCAATGGGAAAACTTAGAATAAGATGCTGCTTTAAACGGTAAAGAGGTCGAGGATTGAGTAGTTTGCTGTAAACTATGTTTACTCTTGATAAAAGTTCAAACTATGTGAATGTTTTCTTGAAGCTATGTTTATTTCCTATTTTGTTGAAGCTTTTATTGGAATTTTGGAAACTTTCTTTGCTTTGTTAACTGTTTTGTAGCTTCTATTGTTGGTGCAAACTTTGGTAAGTTTGTTTAATGTTTTATTGAAGTTAAATGTTTAATATTATATTAGTTATATTTATATTTAGTAAATTGTATATCCGCATTACCGTTTCCTTACCGCGTACCGCAATCCATGTGACTATGGACGCGCCTCATCTAATTCCTAGACTATAGCGTAAAAGGCTTTGCCTATGACACTAGGAGTGTGGCATATGCGTACGCAATAGGAGGTCAGGGTATAAAGGTATGACTTGGGCCCACTAAGACCACTTTTTAATTTTTATAATTGATGTTATAATCCAAATATGATTATCGCGACAACTAGGTCGTCATTCGTAAGCAACACGTCATCCCTCCGAGTTGGGGGTGTGGTGTCAAATATGCAAGGGCGCGCTATATTTCATAGGCCTGGATGTGGTGATAAGAGTGCTAAGGTTGCTAGGTCGTCATTTGGAAATGATGCATCACTCCATTGCCCGGGGATGGTGTCAAATATGCAAGGACATGGTGGGGTTCGATGTGATTTGAAGAAGAGATGGTGGGGTGCTAGATTGCTCATCTAAGGTAGTTGAGGCTATGAAGAGGAGGAATATCAGCATTACGTGTGTGCAAGAAATTAAGTGAATCGGAGAAAAAACATGTGAGATTAATCTCAGGGTTTTAAGTTGTGGTATTCAAGGAGAGAGAAGACAAAAAATGGAGTATGCATTATTGTGCCGCGTGATTATGTTGAGAGTGGTGGAAGTCTTTAGGAAGAACGACGACATTATGAGCATAAAATTGGTAATAAGAGATGAGATCACGTCTGTGGTAAGTGCCGCACCACAAGTGGAATTGAATGCATCTATCACTGAACATTTTTGGGAAGATCTTGAGGAAGTGGTGCGACAAACTCCAATAGCAGAGAACGACCTCAATAGGCATGCGGCCCCATTGTGATGGTTATGAGAGTATCCATGATGGACATGGTTTTGACACTAGAAATGAAGCGAGAAAGAACATTCTGGATTTTGGCTCAACATATGAGTTGGCTGTAATGAAAACTTGGTTGAAGAAAAGACTCTCACCTTGTGACTGACCTATAGGTGTGGAGCCAACTACACTAATTGTAAGGTTATCCCATGTGAGAGTGCATTCACTCAACATAGGATGCTTGTGCTTGATATTCAAGGTAAGAAGAGAAGACGAGTTAAGGTACTAATGGAACCAAAGATAAAGTGGAGGCTTTATGGGAATCTCCATCAAAGTTTTGCGCTCTAAATGTTGGAGAAAGATGTATGGTGTATTGATAATGACACACATGTGGATAATGTGTGGTTATTAATGGAGTCGACCATTGACAAAATGGCAAAAGAGATACTCAAATTTACAAAAATTATGTTTTAGGGTAAATGAGGAGGGTAATGATTGTCCAACACCTCAAAACACTCTAAATTGGGGTGTTAAAAAAGTGGACACCTCTTAATTTTTCTCCCAAACAAGTGTTAGTATCAACACTTACTAACACTTCCATTACTAACACTCCCCAACACTCAATCCAAACAGGCCACTAGTGAAGGATCTGCATTCTTGGTAGTCGAGATAGAGATTCTATCATCCAAACATCAAAGTGTGTATACTCACACTGTCACACATACACAAAGCTAAACATCAAAGTTATGAGACTACAAGCTCCTGTTTCACAAAGCCATCTCATTAATTAAAACAAAAGAACCAAAACAACAGAACACTTGAAAGAACATAGAATAATGGTAGACCATGGTATAGAGGTAAGGTTTCACTCTACATAAAGACAAATATAACAGTAGAGGTGTTGAAGTCGAAGCCAATCAGGCCAGCGTTGATAGTGAGAAGTTGAAGCACAAAGGACTTCAAATTGCACTCTTTTCTCTCCCTCTTTTCCCGCCACTGTTATTGGATTGCGAACCCCTAGCGATCCTACTATTTCTACAAGTTGACTCTGTGCATCAACCGATCCAACAAAACCTGCGCGTTTGCGTAGGCTCTGGATCGCCCAAGGCACAGAGGCTCGCAAACTCATATGATCCTAAGAGGTGGATTGCAAGTTTGACTACCATTGCTGTATTCACTTATGTATTTTAAGCACATAAATCTAATTTCAGCATGAAAGTTTGACATTTTTTCCGACCACCTCCAGTTTGATTTCCTTGGTAAAGATTCTATCAGATATTATAATGAAGTTCGGGTTGAAGAAGCTGTTTTCAAAGCAATTCAACAGTTCCGGAAAGGTTAGTAACACTGGTTCTCTGTATTACTATGGGAGTATGGTATATATACCTTCCTGATTCTGAGCAAGTGTCACTTCAGCTTTGCACAAGAACTAAGAAAAGAATTATTAGTACACCATAGTTCAAGGCATGACAGTCTAAATAGTTACCTTTTCCCTTCAAAGATTGACACCTCTTCAATGAATAAGAGTAAAAATGGAATAAGACCATTCACAGAGAGTAATACTGTATATTTATGAACGTCCTTACTTAGCCCCTTCTACGACATGTTTTCCCTGAATACGACGTTCATCAGAAATAGATGCTGTATGTATTAAGTATATCCCGTTAGATATTTAGTGCATGATTATAAATCATTTTCAGGGAAGCGTGGCAATGATGATCTTTTTGACTCGCTTGATACAAATAAGTTGAATGCTCATTTGAAAGAACTGATGCCTGGCCTAACTGCCAAAGTTTTCCGTACTTACAATGCGTCCATTACATTGCAAAAAGAGGTAAACTGTTGCTGTAACTGTCTTCTTGTATTATATTCATGAGCTTTAGCCGGTTAGAACATTTCTGTTAGAGTACATACTTTTAGGGGTTCGAGATATTGACTAGCTGGTATTTGGCAAATATCCGTGCATGTAATGTACTCCCCCCTCCCCCTGCCCCACAAATAAGTTCCCAAATACACTTCCCTTATATCAAATCAAGCCAAAAAGTAAAGAAAAAGTAAGACTAATAGTGACAATTATGATGTTACATTTGTTCAAATCAGTACCTGAACTTAAAAAAGCTCCAATTCTCACCCTAAACTTGTAAGATAGGTTCAAATTTCATTTGTTTTACAGGTGAACATCTGGTTAACCGCCATGTCGCCCGGTAAACCGCTGACATGGAAATGAAATGTATAAATAACAAGTCCTTGAACTCGTCAGAGTTGTTCAACTCACTCCCTAATTCCCTAAACTATTAAAAAGTGTCAAAATTAATATAAATCAAAATAGACTTAGAAAACATATAAAATAAATATACAATTTAAGTATTTCAATAAAAAATTAACCAAATATAAAAAAATGTAAATATGAGTTTAAACTTTATTGTCATACTATATATCTATCTTTTTACATTTATATTTAAGATTTCATTTATGTGTTTTATTTATATAATATATATATATATATATATATATATATATATATATATATATATATATATTCGAATATTGTATATTTAGTATTAATAAATCCTGCTACTTCTTCAATTTGAAGAGTTTATACCTTATGTTTTTATATTTCTACATTTCGGAGGTTTTAAAACATTATATTTGAAATATAAATTAGAAATTTGATAATAATAAAAATCATTCTGTAAATTTTAAAACCTTAAACCAATTTTTTTTTTTTATCATAGTAAATATATAAATATATATAAATATTAAATTATATATAATACTACCTTCGTCCCATTCAAAGGTTCAAAATCACTATTCACATGGTCAACTTAAATGATTCTTAATCTTTTGCTTTATAAATCAATTTTTTTTTATCAAATATACATTTTTTTTATAAGGCTTTATAGCGGTTTTAATGTAGTTTCTGAATATGTAAACTTTATTTACTAAAAATAATTAAAAGTGTGAATAAGGATCAATTTGCTTTATCGTCAGTGAAGCATCGTAAACCGAATCTGGAACCTCTCTATGGGACGGAGGGAGTACATAATACAACAACAAAAACAACAACAACCAAGGCTTAGTCCCAAAAGAGTTTGGGGTTGGTAACATGAATTGACACATGAAATCGGAGCTAAAAAGATAAGAAATATAAGTAAGATAAAAAAGACAAGATAAAAATGATAAAATAGATAGAAAAAAAAAGATAAAAAGGCTAAATAACATAAGAAAGATAAAGAATATAAAAAGATTTATAGCACAGAATAAAAAATAAAAATCGAAATACAAATTATAAATATTTGAAACTATATTAGATAAGCAAAGACAAAATTGAAAACCTAAAACATTTTATATAATAGAAAATATTAAATACCAAATATAATACATAGAGACCAAATTCGATAAATAAAATATAAAAAGATATGATGTAGAAAATCAAAGGAATAAAATAAAGGCTAAAGGGTCAAATAGGCCCCTGTACCGGTAGTGTAAGTTCAATTCAGTCCCTGAACTAAAAAAAGGTCCAATTCACTCCCCAAACCGGCAAAAATGGGTTCAAAATTCATTTTTTAAGGTTAAGCCTATTTGACCCTTTAGTCTAAAATTAAAATTGAAATGTGAAGATTTAAAGTAAAATATACATACTCGTTTGAATTATATTTCTTTTTATCTTTTTATATTTTAATATTCATCTTCTAGTTAACCATAAAACATAAATATGTATCTATGTTTATACTGTATATATTTATAATTTATCTTTATTATTTTCACTTTTATTTTATTCTATTTTTTTTATCTTGAATTTATTCTTATGTTGAAACTTTTGTAAAATTGAGGGGATGAATTGAACAACTTGAACGAGTTCGGAAACTCATTTGAACATTTACTTTCCACATTAGATACACTATTGGCACCCAACAGGTGACGTGGTGGGTAACCGTATCTTTACCCATAAAAGTGAAATTTGATTTTTTTACAAGTTTAGGGTGCGAATTGGAGCTTAATTAGTTCAAGGGCTGAATTGAGCAAACGTGTCAGGTATGGGGGCTGTATTGACCCTCTAGCCTTAAATAAAAAAATTCCTTTTATGGAGGCAAGAATTTTCTTTTGTAACATCCAACTAAGGAAAATGAGAACTTGTTTCAGGACAGAAGTAGTACTCCCTCCGTCCCAATTTGTTTTGCAAAATTTTCTGTTTTGGTTGTCCCAAAATGATTTTCCACTTTCTATTTTTAGTATAAAACATAAACATAAATGACGAGTTTGCCCTTTCTTTTATACGTACAATGCACTTCTGATATTTTACCCCACCAGATTAATTCCCACCACCCATCTCACTCTTGCTTTCCCCCACATGTCTGTATCACAAAATCACATCACCCACCATCAACTTTAATTCTCTCTCCCACCACCCAACTCCCTCAATTCTCAAATCAAGCACCCACATCCTCTCTCAAATGGAATGTTCAAGTGAGAATTTTTTCCAATTTGAAGACAAAGGAGAAACTAAAGGTAAAGGATTTTTCCGGCGAAGACAAAGTAGGACAGACCGATAAACTACACACTTCTACAAATCTCATGTATAATCGAGGAAGAACAAACGGTGATGTCACACAGTATGGTGAAGAACCCCATTTGCAGACTTCATTTGCAGTTTACAAGACAAAAGGAGACTCCATTCCCGCAGCATATGTTCAGGAATAGCTGTGGGGCTTGTGCCTCATAACCTTGAGTTTAGGTCTGCAGCTAATTGTACTTCACGATAATTTATTTTCAACCTTTAGTTTTCCCCTTTTACGGAGGAAAAGGGTAAAATGGTGAAACTAATATCAACTTCTACCCTTTCTTAATCCTCGTGCCGGTCAACTTTTGCCATTCAATTCGGGACCGAGGGAGTATCAGATAATGCCTTGAAATTTTTGTCTTCTATAGCAATTCTGTACATGTGACAATGTTTCGGAGATGTCTTTCAATTTACTAATATGCCAGTGAATTTTTGTTGTCAAATAGATTATTCAAATTTGACTTCTGAATCAAATAAGAATTGTTTAGGTTTAATGGCCCAACTTGCTTCAACCTTCTATAGCTAGTAAAGTTGTCCAGTTACGTAGCAATTATCTAATACATGCACATATCTACCGATTTCAAATGTTTAATGCACTAAAATCTATGAAGCACAAAAACTCCTGGGCATGAGTATGTTTCCATTTCGGGAACTCTAGAAATTCTTTAAAACTCTCCAAACACTTGTTTATATTAAAACACGGTGTTTCCCTTTTCAAGTTTCCCCATGAAACACATGTTTCCGTGCATCATAGACCAATCTGATTTCTTTTTTCCCTATTTGACCTGCTGCTCTTGAATATTTCAGTTGGATAGGCTCACGGATAGTCATGCTGATGTTGCAGAGAAAGGAAGGGTATATCTAGATGCAAATAAGCAGGTATAAAAAATATTGTACCCATCTCTCATTCAGCAGTTTTGGTGTATGGAACTTACTTCAAGGATTAGGGCCCATACTTGTGCTGTAGGTGGCTATCATTTGCAATCATCAACGTAGTGTTTCAAAGACGCACGATGTGCAAATTTCACGCCTGAACAACAAGATAGAAGAGTTAAAGGTTAGTCTTCCCAGTTAAAATATGAAACTGTAATGGTTTAGTTTATGGTCTGACGTCCTAAACACGTATCATTGTTGTTTCCATTATGTATTCACATGTATGGACCATTCTTCATTGTTGCCTGCTCACATGTTTTATATTTTTATATATTGGTTCTCATTTACTCAGGGTATTTTGGATGAACTGAAAACGGATTTGACCCGTGCAAAGAAAGGGAAGCCTCCATCAAAAACTGAAGACGGAAAGACAAAGAGAAATCTGGCACCCGAAGCGTAAGGCATTTTCTAAACTACGAATTATTATTATTGTGATTATGACTATTATTAGGGAGATTTCCCAAAACAGGGCTAAATAGGGTTTAGAGTTCCAAAATAGGATTGCTATGTTTTTCTTCTTGAAATAGGAGTAAGATGACAGTAACCACTGTCATCTTTTAGTCATGACTGCCAAATAGTTGCCGTACTCCCATTCACATGGCAATATTTATTATAATTAATGGCTGTATTTTTTCAATTTTAGCAATATTTTTTAACCATGACAGTAATGACTCCTATTTCGGGAATAAAAACATAGTAGTCCTATTTTGGAATTCCCAAAGTTGTTTACTCCTATTTAGGACAATTTCCCTTATTATTATAATTACTATTATTATTTTTACTATTACTACTACTATGGTTTTAATGCACCAATCTCCCCTGTGATATACAAATTTTGCACATTAGCTTGTGATTTGAAAAATGCATTAAACGTCCTGTTTTAATTCATCATGCACATAATTTCCTCGAAGAACAAATTTAATAGTCAAATAAAAGAAAAATGATTAGTATTTTTGTTTAATTTAGATATCATGACAAATATACTTACATGTTCAATCATCATAACATTAAGACACGTGATTTTCAAATTACCATTATTTTTTCTTCAAGTGTGACGTGTCATGTGCATAATTAATTATAGTGCGGGGTTTGATGCATATTTAAACCACAAGGGGTCAATGCACAAAATCTGCATATCACTAAGGAGTTTGGCGCATTAAATCCCAACTACTACTAACAATCACACGTCTTGTAAAATCTCTACCCCTTAACAACAAGCTTTTTCCAATGGATCAATGTAGATTGCAGAAAAAGATAGATCAAACTATTGTGAAGATCGATAGAATGGAAAAACAAATAGAGACAAAAGAAGATATGAAAACAGTTGCACTCGGCACGTCCAAGACCAACTACCTAGACCCAAGGATCACTGTTGCATGGTGCAAACGGAATGAGGTTCCCATTGAAAAGGTCTTCCCCCTGCATATGATATTATTATCACACTTCGAGAAAGAGTTTTTTGTTTTTGTTTTGTTCTTTACTAGTAAAGCAAAAGTTGGTGACTGGGCACTTTTCTTTCTTTTTGTGTCTTGAATGTTTCCAGGTATTTAACAAGTCTCTTCTGGCAAAGTTTGCTTGGGCCATGGATGTTGATCCCGACTTCTCTTTCTAAAGGAAAAAATGGTTAACTGTATGCTGATATATTATTAACTATTCACATAACCTCCATGACACTGATATATTGTATTAAAGAGGCTGTTAATAATGTTGTCCAAAATAATGTTGTCGTGAATGAGAAATTGAGTTTGAAGTATTGCGTTGATAATTCATAATGTATTAATGTTGTGCTTGTTGTTGTAGTCACTGGGACTGCTGTTAATATTAATTTTATGTTATTTGGCAGTGCTAGTGCTAATGGTAATGTTAGTTATTGTATTACATTCATATTATTTACATTCTCATATTTTTCACATTTATGTTATTAGATTTGTCACGTGAGTGTAGAGGCATTACGTTAATATATTCAAATTATCACCCTAGTATATGTACTATTCATAGACTAGTATTTGTATCATCCACTGATCCACATTCTCATTTCATAAACACATTTATCTTGTAAAAGATTAAAAGTTACCATAATAAAAATGAAAGTAAAACATTCATCTTACTGGAGGGCAGAGACATGGTCTTAAACTATGTAGCACCGGTACGCGGAAACGGGTACGGGGATACCTCAAAACAAAAAAAAAGTAGGATACGGATACGGGGCCATATTTATAAATATTAAAAGTTATGGGGGTGTATTTACAAATATTAAAAGTTATAGGGGTCTATTTATAAATATTAAAAATAGTTTTTTTTGAATATATATATATATATATATATATATAGAGTGCTCTTCTCATCAGGCCGGCCTGACGGGATGCTCCGTCCGGCCGAGCCCATTTGGGCACCTTCCCGGTGGAATTTTTTGATGAAATTTTTTGAGCATGTTCCCCATCAAGTCTAGTTTGTCCATACCAAATTTCAGCTCAAAATTCGATCGGGAAGGCATTCAAATCATTTTTTGAAGTTGACTGCGTCAAAATATACATATAAAACTGCAGTCAACTTCAAAAAATGATTTGAATGCCTTCCCGATCGAATTTTGAGCTGAAATTTGGTATGGACAAACTAGACTTGATGAGGAACATGCTCAAAAAATTTCATCAAAAAATTCCACCGGGAAGGTGCCCAAACGGGCTCGGCCGGACGGAGCAGCCCGTCAGGCCGGCCTGACATGAACATTCCTCTATATATATATATATATATATATATATATATATATATATATATATATATATATATATATATATATATATATATAGATTTAGGTTCATGTGAGAACTTAATCTTAGGAGAGTAAAAAAGAATAGATGTGAGCCATTGGATTTTGAAACTCTTCAATATTTCATTAAGGGTATATAAGAGAATTTGACACCACATTAAAAACTACACGGTTGATTACTTCCCTACAATCTTGCTAATATTTCCTTAACTATCTCCCTATAATTTTGCATAGCCAATCATGAATCATCCAATTTCTTTTAATTTGCTTTACGGTTCTCATTTTTTTTTATCAAATTAGTTTTATTCAATCAAAATAAATTCTTTTATCTCATTTAATTCTTTCTTGATCAAAAAAATTCTTTCTTACCTTCATTATTCTCAAGATGTGTGTTACGGAGAAGACATTCCTTTTCATATTTTGTTAAAATGCTCGGTCATTTCATCACCTTATGTTTAAATATGTCTTCTTTTTTATGTTTAAATGCATTTTCATATATTATTTATCCTCTAGATATTATTAAAAATTGCACTAACACAACTATATATATTGCACCTTTTAAGTATCATAACTGCACCACATGTCTATGTATATTTTTTTAGAAAGTGTGTGAGAATAATGCAGTTTTATAAATATTTAAATGCACATGTTTAAAGTGCATTCATTTGGGGTAAAAGTGACATGTAAAGATTTAAAAAGTGTGATATAGTAATGCACTTTTATATATACTTAAATGAACATAATAGTATATCATTGTAGTTTTACACCCACGTTTATTTATTTTCATTTTGAATGATTTCGATTATTTTTATTATTTCAAAAGAAAAGTGCATTTCATTTTGTATAAGCGTCAATGTAAACTTTCGGAAAAGTGTGATATACTAATGCACTTTTTTGTATACTTAGTGCACATATATGATAAAAAATGCATTTTATGTTGTAAAAGAGTGTCAGTGTATAAGTTTAGAAAGTATGATGTAATAGTGCACATTTGTCTTATTCTAAATGCACGTAGTTGATAGTTTATTGTATATTTATATTAGTTTTTTTTTTTTGCAAAAATGTATGGATGTGTCGAACTAAAATGTTCTAAAAGTGCAAAATAATAACATTAAAGTGTAATTTACAATACTCCAAATTAACCTAATAAACTTGTATTTCCCTGTAGGTTGCAAAAATATCTAAATATCTAATTAAATTGATGTTACAATATGTTCAAATAAAAGTGCAAGTATTCAATATTTAAGTGCAAATACACAAAATTAAGTACATGAAATATTGCCTCTGAAAAGACAATTAGACGTGAAAAATGCACAATTTGAATAATTTTTTTATATCAAATTACTCATCCGAATTATATGTGATATAATACTAAATTTATTTTGGAAAGGAAATTAAAATAATCAATATATATATATAAAAGAGGAACTTTTTAAGAGCATACGGTGTGCCACATGATCCTGCCATGTCATCATATATAATAATTATTCAATTACTTTTTATTTTTTACTACATTCTATTTTTTATTGCATATTGATATGGAAACAAAATATTGTACAATCTTTTATAATCCACCTTATTTGATACTACGTAACTTTTTGAGAACCTTTACTTACTCCATATTATTTGAAATATTTTGATACTACGTAACTTTTGTAGACAAATAATTAAATAAATTATTTAATTATTTTTGTAGTATCAAAATATATATAAAAGGTTATGCATTATTTTGCAGTAAGTATCAAAATATTGAAAATAATACATAACCTTTTATCAAAATATTGCATATAATACATAACCTATTAGTAAGTATCAAAATATATTTTGCAGTAAGTATCAAAATATTTATCAAATACATTATATTTGGACAAAATATTATGTATCAAATTATATAATAAAATTTACGTAATAATTATTGTAAAGAACTACGTAATATTTTTGTAATAATTATTTGATACTACTTAACTTTTATAGCCATCCCAACACATAAACTATATTTTATATAAATTATTTAATTATTTTTTATACCTTTTATTTCTTATTACATTCTATTGAGAAATGAATTATCCGTGTTTTCCCCACCTAACAGATAAATAATCCAAATTCCTATTAATTTTCTTCTTCAAAGTTATTTTATAAAAATAAAAAGGTAATAATAGTGTTCCATTTCCTAAATGTGATATTTTATTTTTCTGAACTCAATCTCTTTTTTAGTATGTTTTCTAAACTCAATGCGATAATGACTAAAATTATAAGCTGTGTTAATACTTTCTTAGTTATTGGAAATTATAACCACAAGATTTTTTAACTTAAAAATGAAATTGATAACATGTAAAACTTCTGATCAAGTACTTTACCTTTATTAGGATGGAAATTCATATATGTTTACTTCTTTCTCTATTTTTACAACTATAATTTAAATATTCCCTCACTTCTGTAATAGATTCCTAATCCAAATTAAGAAATCTTCATATATTTAGAATGTTTTTAATTCAACTGATTTTAGTCTCAGACAAGATCAGATCAAACATCAATCATAATAATAAAAATTATTATTATTATTATTATTATTATTATTATACATATAATAGACATCTTCCACACTGTATTACTTCAGACCGAATTAGAACCGAAAATGTCAATCTAATTTGATACTACCTCCGTTCCTCTTATATTGGGACAGAAGAGGGTGACACGATTTTTTAAAAAAAGTGGGTTTGTGTGGTTGATATTAATTGATAAAGTAAGAATAAATAAAAATGATTTAGAGCCACACAAACTTTACCAAATATGGTATGAAGCAATTTTAGTGGGATTTCCCGAAAAGGTAAAACGAGACAATATAAGGGGGACAAAGTGAGTATATCTTATTAATGACGTTTTCAATGTGACGAAATAAATTAGTAAATTGTAAAAATGATCCATTTTCTTACATTCTCAATGTGACGAAATAATGAGTAAAATGTATGATCTTACTAATAAATTTACAAATACTTATTTCATACCATGTTGAATGAGAAATATTTAAAAAAAATAGTATTTTGAGATGCTTAATGAAGTAATATAATGTGAAATTAATTAAGAAACTTTTGTGTGAATTCTTTAAAAGCGGGTTTATAACAATATGGTTAGTTGAGATGCTTATGTACAAGTCCATTTTAAATATTTTCCATATAAATTTTAATTTGTTTTATTAGTTATATACGTAATATGTAGTATATTTTATTTTACTTTTTCATAATGTGGGAGATTCCGTCATTTTAGTCCGATCTGTTAGATTTAATTCATTACGGTAGAGTTAGACAATTCAACTAATTTTATATTAGACTAAGTTTATTTTGTTTTTGCATCACATTAAATTATACTACGTATATGATTCCGAAAATATCAAATTTACAATTGGCTAAATTATGTACTGCCCGTGCATCGCACGGGCTTGAAAGCTAGTAGAATATATAAGAGGGAGGTACGTTACTCCCTATTAATTATTAGCCTACTTTTTAGGATGAATTCCTATTATAGTGCTGCATACGTATTAATGCTTGAATGAAATTTACTATGATGTCCCTTATTTAATTTTCAGTTGGAGAGTTGCCATATATGAGAGCCTAATGATCCGAAGCTAGCAATAATTTTGAAAAATGCTAAGCCATTAGATCAAGTTAATTAAAGGTTCGATTACATTATTCAATGCTCAGATTTTAATCTTTTTCCCTCTCCTAAAAGGGTGTTCTCACAGGATCTACTCCCTATATATATATATATACACACATATAATATCCTATGATGTCTACATATTCATTGCATTGAAGTATTTTCCTTTTTCAAGATACTTAATAATAAATTCATAATATTTCTCATATACACTAATGCATCTCGAAATATAAATGTAGTCAATAAGTCATTAATTTAAAATGAGAAATAAGTCAAACAACTACAATCTTGAAATTAAAAGTGCAAGTATCCAATTCGGAGTATTAGTTAATGACTTAATTTGGATATAGCCATATAGGTCCATTATTTGATTACCAAGTAAAATGTAGTTTTAGATTTTCATTTTTTTAGAATTTTATTAAGTACATTTTGGGATTTTTTTAAAAGTTATACGAGTATCCGTCAGGATACGAGTATCGGAAACTTTCAAAAAATTACAA